ATTTAAACAGTAAATTAAAGGATAGCGTTTTTTTTTCGATTTTGCCTGTCTTTTTTTTTTATGCTAAACTTCCATTATAAATATACGTACTTTCCGTCATACTTTCGTAAAGTTGTCTTTTCCCCAGAGCGCAATCGCTCTCGAGGACCGACAGTCACATTGGCCACTGTACGATAGGAGCTTACCGTTCAGACCAGCGTTCCAACATGACTATCCACACGTCGATCGACTGCATAATCCCTCAAGTGGTTTTAAACTCTTTAATGTAAAGCGGAATGTCATCCTGCGACACCCCGGCCCCTCCGATAACGGCCCGACCAGCGGCATCAATGCCCGACAGTTTACGTCATCTCATCTTGTTGTTACACCACTGATACGCGAACACACGGTCACATCGGCGATAATTCCAGTCTTCTGTTCACAACCCACAACACTGCCATCACAATGTCGCTGACACGAAGAAATACAGAACCACGTTGACGATGTTGCTGACACGCAGAAGAATCACGTTGAACGCCGGTTGGCACTCGGCACGGGACGACGGAACCGAACTCAGCGCGGAAGGCACCCAGGCAGCCGGCAGGAAAACCTGCCTTCCTTGGACGCAGTTCCCGCGATTTCCATAACGTCGAAAACGTCGACACAGTTCCTCGTGGTTTCGCTGCTGTAGCAGGCTGTAGTTCCGCGTGTGTCCCGCAAATTGGAGACGGCCGTCTTACCCAGTGTATGTAGCGCTGCTGGCACTGCTCCGGAACTTCGCTGTTTCTAGCGGCTTCGTTAGCTCGTTTGATAAAATTAGTGGTAAAAACGTCAACGCAACCGAAATGTTCTGCACGTTTGGACTAGAAGACGGAATTACAGGCGGCCTTCGCTGCCGCTGAAGCTCAATCAACTCAACATTAATTTATTAAACAACGTGCGCGATGTGCTCGAAAAACGAAACCGAAAGAAGATGGGTCGGGAGGGCGAAAGCTTTCTCCGGTCTGCCTGGAGGAGGAAAACGTCTCGGAGAATAATAAGGACTTTAATTTTCCTTTCATCGGTCTGGGTTTGTTTATATGTGTTTTGGTAAACAAAAATAAAAAAAAAAAACTTCACAAAAAAAAACAAAAAAAAAAAACCCGCTTTTCTGGGGATCGAACCGTTGACCACACTTGGTCAGTAGCGCGATGTTCTACCCCTGCGCCAACTGAACAAGGAGGAACTCGCCCTCCTCCTTTCATCTGAACTGTCGTTCCTCCCTTCTCTGGGCAACTTGTCCGCAACAAGGAGGAACAGTCGCTTTTGCTACCTTTCTCCTCCCTTTTTTCTTAGAGTGTAGTACGATGTCACTCCATATCTTGGTGAGACAATAAGTCCGTCGCAACTAAAGAAGGTATGACGAGCGAAAGGAAGGTGACTGAATGCTGGAAAGAGGAGGATGTTTCCCCCTTCCCCCCACTTCCCCAGCGTTCCGTCTGCTTCTTCTTCACCAGCCTTCCTTTCCCTCGCCGTATAGATTCTTGACCTGTAACTTGCTACAGTTTAGAACGACCATTCTGAAGCTTCAAAGATTTGAAGAAAAAAAAGTGAAAGCCGTTTACAACTCCCTGTAACACCGAATTAGAGCGCAGCTCTTGAGGAGGAGGAGGGAAGGGTACGGGGGGTGAAGTGACCTGGGGGGTCACGTGACCTTGGGGAGTCACGTGACCATGCCGATGATGTCATCAGTGACGTCACTGCGGACTCCGATGACGTCATCAGCGATGATGACGATGACGATGTGGATGTCGGTGACGTCATCTGTGATGATGACGATGACGATGCAGATGCCCCCCGAAGTCACGTGACCCTGGGGGTGGTCACGTGACCTGGGGGTGTCACGTGACTTCGGGGGGGGGGGGGGCACGTGACCTCGGGGGGGTCACGTGACTTCAGGGGGGTCACGTGACTTTGGGTGTAAGTGACCTTGGGGTGACCTTGGGGGTCACGTGACCTTGGGATGACCTTGGGGGCCACGTGTCCTTGGGATGACCTTGGTTACGCCGACGCCGACGCCGCTCAAGCCGGGAACGGGCCCCTAAGAGCTGCGCTCTAAAAATTGAAATCGCGATTGCCTTGGCAACGGAGACCGATTAACCAATCATCTTTCGAGGTTTTGGTTGTCTGTATGTTAGTATCTGTTAGTGTCTGGCTAGCAGGCAAAGAAGGTAAGGACGTCATGTACCCAAAATCCAGGGACATTAGCTTAGTCCAGCTTGCTTGCGCCCACTTTAGCCTCCTCCACGTAGCGCAGAACAATGTTGTCTGGCTGCGGATCACTCGGTCCGTGGGTTGATTCCCATTGAGCCTTTTGGTTAATCTCGCTTGTCACGATTTAAAGCCCTACCTATTATAGCGAATGTGCGCCTTTAAAAATGCATCTATATATGTCTGGGCTGGTGTGCTAGTCAATATGTGGCTATCTGTGCCCGGGGTTAAAGTATAGCCGCAGGAAGGATTTTGAGGTTACGTGACCGTCTCCGTGGTGAGAAAGTACCTATATACTCGTAATCAACGCAAAAACCGTGCCTAAAAAAAAAAATACAGCTCCTCGCTTAACGTTATTTATTTTCCCAATTATGGGTTGAATTAAATACCTGCCTCTTAGATTAGTTTTGTTACCTTATCGAGCGTACACGTTTCAAACACAGAAAGGCATCGTTTCTTCCTCCGACATACAAATCTTGTAAAAGCTACTTCATGTAGTGCATAAATATTCTGTAAAACTTTTTTTTCTGATTGGACAACGTTTATAGTTCTTTAGCCAATTCCGCTTAGCAGACGTCTTACCTGTCACGTTTTTTAGATTTTTCTTAACACGAGCTTTTCCTAAGATTAAATCACATGCCGCTCCTAAAACACGCGCTGTTCTCACTTTTCAAAAAAGAAAATTATATGAATGCGGCTATTTTAATTACATTTACAGCAAGTTCGCCCCCGGCCATTTTTTCGCATAGTATTGCACTTGAAGAATGAAAATGACGACGGGCTTAAGCAGCATTTTGTCTGGAACGTCCCTTTACTTTCTTGTCCCTACAGAGCCCATCGCGTAACCTCAAAATTTCCCTTACAGCTGCTTTAAGTATCACGAATAAATACCCGCATTCACCAGAAAACAAGCCCTGCAATGGTTTGTGTTCGATTTGTAAATTGGCTCGGGTGCAACGGTTTTTCGTCACATTCAAGCGTAAGGTTTTTCACACAAAATCCAGTCCATAGACAGATTGTTTTTGTTTCGTTTTTTTTCTGCTTGAACGAGAGTATGCAAAGGTTATCTCCAATTACGGTTGCTCAATGTCTTCATGTCTAAACAGTCATACTATTATAGTAGTACCCGATACTGACAGCACGTGTTCACGGAAAAAATTAAAAGAATTAGCTGAAAACAAAATGTCGCCTTAGCGTTGTCAATGCTATATCCGTGCCAAGAGCTCGTGTGGGGAGGCGCTCCTGAACCCGTTCCAGAGAAGAAAAAAAAAAAAGCGCAGGGAACAAAATGGCCAGACGTTATCGCCCTAAGCAAAGCGAACATGAAGGCACCCTCTCTCCGATTCATGCGAAACTCGGAGATACGCCCGAGTTGTTGGCGCTTTGCGATGGCCGTGTAGTTAACAATAACTTTTATTGCGAATCTGTACGATAAAATCCTGACAGATAATGTAAACACAATATCGCTCTTTTTGTTCATTTCGCGCATACACATGGATGTCAAGTAACAAATTTTACCTGCAAACTTAATAAAGACTTTATTTAGTACATTAAATAACACTATATTAGTCGCGATGACAGCCTTTTTTAGCAGTGGGAGAAAAACAGAAAGCACGGCCGATAGTGTGTTCGCGCTACGTGTGATTCGCTTTGCGCTCGCCCCTCGGGATAGAAAAAAGAAGCGTAAGAATAAAGGAATTAGATAAAGCCGAGCTTTGGATTAGGACATCAATATAATTTACACTTGAGTTTTCAATTTCTAGTCTGTACGTCGTCGCACTAAATAAATATGTTCACGTAATCCCGCCAGCGTGCTTTTCTTGCCATGGACAAGATTCCGCCTATTCCAAAGATTCCGTTAATTAGGATTTCTTGCATCCTCAACATAAAGCGAAACAGGTCGATAAAAAAAAAAAAAAAAAAAAAAAAAAAAAAAAAGCTCGATGCGCATGCGATTTTAGAAAACGGTTCTTCTGAATACAGCACTCAACGATTGGATGAAGCGTTAAGCCCGCAAACACTGTACCACATAACGCGGTAACTCGAGCGGTAAACTCAGATGTGCTTAGATACATCTTCTTCTTCGTTTCTCCGCTGGTTTCAACATGAACAGCTACAACATGTACTGAAATTACTGCGTGGTGCACATTAAAACACTCCTAGCCCCCTGCTTACAAATAAAGCGTTAGAAACAATGCCTATACACGCTACCCTTCGGTGTGTATAAAACAAAAAAAGTATACTACAGTTGACTGACGGCTGAAAGAAGGGCCCGGCGAGCGGTCGGCAGCCAATGAGATTATGGCAAATAACGCCTAACAAACAATCAGGTTGCAAGACGCGCGATCATCAGAAGTCACGCCCTTGTTTTCTGAAACTGTCTCGAACTTTTAGAGATTAACGCAGCTTTGAGTCACAACAACATTTCCTGAGAAAGACGTACTATCGCAAAATATATGAGCTGAAACTGCCCCGAAGGGTTCTTCAGCTTATCACTTAGTTATGACAATGCTTTAATTCATGCGTGCGTTGGAACGCAAAGCTTAGGTCTAAACCTTTGAATTCTTTAATGACCTGAAAGATAATAGAACTTGTGGGAAACTGCATGAGAAACAAAATCCCAGATGGAAAGTTTTAGCGATTATTGTCCGGGGATGTACAAGAAGAGCAATTATTAAAACAATCTTTGCGCTGTACCAGGTGGCAGGGGCTCTGACGGTGTGTGATTCGAGCAAGAATATTAGTAACATGAGAACTGAGCGAATCCTTACCTCCGGACCGGCTCCGAGATACCGCAGAACATTCTGCAGCGCTGGTATCCCACCGCCGTTTGGGCACTGCCCACCTCGAACGTCGCTGAGACCATCGTGAGCAGCGCGATGCACCCCAGCACAGACCTCGAGTTGGACATCTTGCTGCGAACGCGTCCGGGGCATCGAATGGCCAACGTCTTCGGGCACGACTCCCGACGTGTTTCCCTCGTCGGTTCGGCGGTCCGATTACAAGCTTCAAAGTTCATCCATCGGCTCGATAAGCCTTCTTGTCCGAAGGTCACGAGGGCCCAAAATTCTCGGCACTGTCAACGTTGTAGAGAGGTCAAAGACTTCGTCCTTCTGGGAAACCCGTTCCTCTGGTCAACAAGAAACCCCACTTGTCATGTCTACGAATAAAGATAAATCAAGTCTGCGGTTAGTCAACTCGAAAGCGACGTCGGCTGAGGGACACGTGTAAGCCTATTGTGTCGCCTAAAGCCGGGGTAAAACTGCTTGTACATCATACAGAAGACAGTCTGTCTGCATAGAGATTCGAACGCGAGTCACCGGGAGGTTCGCGCTTCGAATGCCGCATGGCATTGAGTTCAGTGGAGAAAAAAACATGGCACGTGGAATTCGAACCACAGATATTGCGGGGACTCGTGTCTCCAGATAGTTTTTAGTGCGATGCATTAAGCCTCGGTCGCATTGCAAGTACATGATACAAAAAATGACAGTCTGCGGGCAGTGTTTGAGGCGTGTTTCTTGCTTGTCTGTGGTCCCATCACACTGGTCATACAAACACTGTCTGCCAACTTGTTCGAAACAAATATGCTTGTGACATGTGTGAGGTGTGCTCGCCGATAATTCTGTCACCATGCCTGCAGTGGACACAGTGTCTTTTGTGTGATGTATGTGCACCGCGACTACGGCTTAAGGGTTTGAAACACATCAATGTATGTACAGTCTCGAACAATATAAAAGGCCCGTTCGACGCGGCAGGGCGGTTATGCTCGATTCGCTTCGGCCCTGTCCACATCACTTGGATCGAAAATACCGATGAACCTCAGTTCTATCCTCCCCCTAAACATAAAGTGCCTCCGGCCAAGGTGCGCTTACCGATCTTTTTCGTTTATCCTCGTCTCCAGCCACGCAGTTGACAAATCCGGTATGCGGGATGAAGAAAAGAAAAGCGAGTCATTACAACTTGGAACAAGTAAAGGATTATAAAAAAAAGGCAGAACAAGAACGATAGACGGTCGCAATTAAAACGTCAGCTTCTTTTGGCGGGGTGGCGACAGCAAAACGATGTTTTCTCGCATATGGAAAATTCCGCGATTTAAGATGGCGGCGCCCGCGTGACAAAAGGTATATAGGGCGTGCAAGTTTGTCTGCTCCTCGCGCACCTCGTGTGTCTGTTTAACCTCCTAATGCACCTACGTGCTGATGTTTTCCCCCGACCTCTTGAGCCACAAAATGGCGCGGGCTTGGCAGCATCGTCATGGCGTGTACCCATGCAGAGCCGTATATGTAGAGTTTGACCATTCATTGGGAAGTATATGGGACAAATGAGGAGGCTCCATTGGCTGAATGCGGGTTGGGCGTGTTCCGGGGCGTCTTCACAAGTTCGAATGTGGCCAACCAAGAGCAGGAAATAATACCCCTGGCGGTGGTCGCGAGAAACGAAATCAATAGGTGCGTCCGCGTAACTCTTGGTGACTGAAAGTATAGTGCACGTGATGTTTCAATCACGGTCGTTCAAGATCACGGAGGACGAGTGAAACGAGCGGAACGATCGACATAATCCGTACGCCAGGCGCCGAGGGCCGGGAATCTGCCGTCCGAGTGGTCACACTCCGTCCAAGCAAAACGGAATTCGAGCGGCACATTCGTCTCTTACATGTCTCTCCATAATCATACATTGAAACATCACGTGCACACTATTTTCAACCATAAAGGGTTACCACATTTAACTCTTACGCGCTTATTTAAACGATTAAAACTATTTCTAGCCAGCACCACTAGGGGATTCTCTTAGGCTTCTGGTTGGCCCAGAGCGAATGTCAAGCCCTCTTTCTGCACCTGGTGCACGCCCTGGCTCTGCCCGCACCTCCCATTGACCAAACTCTCTCTAAACACGGCTCTGCCCATGAGCTTTGTCTATGTTGTCCTTTGGCTGGCGCGCGCCCCTCATTCCGTTCCGATGCACCGAAGACGGGCATTGGGATACTTGCTCGCCGTACAATCATCGAGGGCTCGAGGGAAACGGATGCAGGGCGTGGGAGGCCATCTTATCGCCGTTCTGTAGCCAATGAGAGCGCAGCATTAGCCAATAAGAACGCCTAGAGCCACTAAATGAACTGTGCTTAGAGTATCGGCACCCCGTTCCCCGACATTGTAATTGGGGCGCCGCCATTTTGCTGCTTATGCAGAGTAGACGCAACTGCCGATCGTCATTATTCGAAAGTGCGACTTCTTCAGCATTATATTCGGTGTTAGGAAGCTCATGTAATGTTGCTTTGCTCTGTCACAAAATGTTTAAACATTTGTGAAGGGCGGAAAATAGTTTCCTGAGATTTTAGGTGAAGCTTCAGATAACTGGTAACCATGATGTTAAGCCACAATATGGTCAAGTGCCGTTACTCTGAAGCGTAGCTCATTTAGTGACACTAAGAACGCCCAAGAACGAATCAGAAAGCGAGGAGCGGAAGCATAATGAGCTACGCAGTTCTTATGTCGCCAATATATATTGGAAGCATGCGACCGGCTCTGCATGCAACTAAAGTCCCTTGACACTTCTTTTACAAGTAACGACAACCAATACAAAGGACAAAGAACATTCCGCGAGATCAAAATGGCGCCATTCAGTTCAAGCCTCTGCTGTGCGCTGCTAAGACCTGCACCGTCACGCAGTTGGCGCTTCAAAAAATGTCGCTACTTGTAAGAAGCTCTTATTTAGGGACTTTACATGAGACAAGACGTTAGCGCCACGGCGGTGCCCCTAGCAGGAGCATTTCGCATAGATCACGATAACGAGTGGCATAGACGTCCATGTGTAGCAGCCAAACTTTCTAATCGATGTCAGCTTACCTGAGCACAGCGTTATCCAGGCCGACGCGCTGTTTACAAACATGACGGCGTTCGCTCACACGAGCTGTGGCCAAACATGCAGTTGCCACGAGAGGTGTGGTCAATGCGCGTGCTCAAAAACCAGATTTTGCCTGAAATAAAGCGTCTGCGCATGCGACATGGGGACCAACACCAACAAGGATGTAAGGCTTGAATTTTAAGGTTATGATTAGAACGCAATAAAATGCAAAGGTGCAAGCGAGCTGGACAAGAATGACGAAAGTAATCCCTGGAGAAGGGGAACAAGAGGGACAAAAAACAAACACAAATCTCCAAACAAACCCTTGTTGGTGTTTCACCCTTGTTGGTGTTAGACTGCTGGCAGCTGATAAAACCTGTTTGCTCTACGTCGAACCCCTGTTCTTCCTATGTCCTTCTCTTAAAGCGCAATCATGTTTTCTGACGTCTAACCCCTGGTTAGCTCAGTTGATAGAGCGCTCCACTGGAAAGGGTTCAATACCCGGACCACGCGGATTTTTTCGGTCGCGCACCAGTCACCTAGCTGTGTTTGGAGATCTGTGTTTGTCCTTTGTCCTTCTTGTTCCCCTTGTCCAGGGAATATTTTCGTCAGTATTATTTTTGCCGTATTTCATTCTGAAGCTTCTCTTTCTTTAAAATCACTTGTATATCTGATGCTATTCAACACTGAGACCGAGGATCGACAGGGTAATTATGCTAAGAGGTATGTGACTGTGTCGCCCGCACCTTTTTCCTCAGTCTCGGACTTTGGTTGAAATTCTGGGCTTCACCCGTCGTTTTTAAGATCTCCCGACTGTACGTACGTTGCGTGAGCTTTCCAATTCAGTAGCGGATTCCAGTTCGGTGGCAGTGTAGTAATTGGCTTTTACTAGATTGTTGCGTCGTCACGGGTGATATTTGTGCTGTTACAAGCGCCAGTCCGAGCCCGAACTCGCGCCTCATCCGCCATTCGTGTTCTTCAGTTTTAATGTTCTGCGCTATGATTCATTAAACTTAAGCCTAAAAGGTAATCACCCCTGCAGCGTCTCCCGTCAGGGCACCCCATAGCCCGGCCGCTCTACCGGCCCTTCCTGGGTGTCTCCTGCTTCCGAGTAGCAGCCTGATGGTTGAAACACCAACGTTGTCGCCTCCCCAGGAAACAATCACCTCATTTTTATGCGTCAACTACCCCTACATTTGGTGCGTCGGCCGCTACTACGTATTGATGCGTCAGCCGAGCCTGTCGACCGATCCCGTTCTTTCGACTGTTTAACTCTTTGCAGGGTAGATACAGAGCCCTTGAGGTTTTTCAGGTTGTTTCGCTCACGCTCGTTCAGTCATTTTTTTTTTTTTTTTTTTTAGTGCAGTATATACGGTTTTTTTGTGTTTGTTTCTTTCAGTGTTCCAACGCTTGTGTTCCTTCACTTTTTTCAGGGCAGTAAATAAGCCCCTGGGGTTCTTGGGTATTCACACGAGGGAGAAATCCCGGGGATTTCTCCCCGGCACGCGCTCATCACGAGATGAAAACGCGAGGCTTTTGCACATCGCAAAGCCTGACGTTTTCGTCGTGGGATGCGCGTGCCGGGGAGAAATCCCCGGGATTTCTCCCTCGTGTGAATACCCCTTTAGAGTGCTCCAACGCTCCTGATCGTTTTGTTTATTCGTCTGCCCTACAAGACGTGGCCTTTCAAACCGTCTCAGTTTTTCCTTTTGGCCGGTCGCTCTCAATATTGCATTGCCCTGAGATGTGCTGCCCTATACTCCTTTCACCCCTAAGCGGTGGGATCGGTGGCTGAGTGGGCTGGCGCACACCAGCTCGGAGCACGTGGAGCGAAAGCTTGCGCTGCAGACCTCAGGGATCCTGAGTTCAATCCCCACCCCTGCCCGTTTCGATCTGGATGTGCCTCGTACCAGCATGCGCTCGTGTACCACTACTGAATGGTGCACGTTAAAACCTTAGGCTAGCGGCTGTACTGCACTGGCTAAATTTCTCATCTACAGTGAGTGACTCGTCGCAACATTGAAATGGCTGACCAACTACACGCTGTCTAAATATCCATACAACCCCAAT